AAATTTATATAATTTTTGTATATAACATACATAATGTATATATATACAAAAAATATACAAATTTTATATATTTTCGGCTATTATTTTTACAGCGGCTATACAGTGTCATTTTTCCAATCTAAAATATATAGACTCATGTTCTTCTAAAAGTTTTCATTTACACCAAAAGTAGAACAACAGTAGACACTTCATTTTCATCTTCTGGACATGATTATACTTGTCTTCAAAACATCTCTGGTTTCTCTCTTTTCAAATTGTCCACCAGATGCAAGTAGGGACAATCGTTCATCTCTCCTTCTGATTGGAGAAATTACCATCTCTATTCCAGCATGCAAGAACTTCAGGACTTCTTCTTAGCATAGTCCACATAATACCCCCTTAAGTTGATAAAAATTCTCCATAGTTGAGCAGTCAACCTGCAGTGTAAAAAATGATGACTAATAGTCTGCCTCCTCTCCACATAAGTAGCATTTAGAGCATAATTGATATCCTCTCTTGACTAGGTTGTCCTGTGTCAACATTGCCTCCTTTGCCAACAACCGAGTAAAGCAAGCAACTTTATGAGAAATTTTAACTTTCCAAATCAGTTTCCATGGCCAACAACCAACCTAATTCATGGAAAGGTTGAATTCCTTATAAGCTGATCTAACAGAGAACTTCTCAATTTTATTTCTTTGCCAATTTATACGGTCTTCAGAGTTTGAAATTCCTTTGAATTGTTCAATAACATTGTAGAACTCTGTTAGCCTGCCAATCTCCCAGTCATTTAATAATCTTCTGTAAATAAAATTCCACCCTTGTATATTCCATACCTCTCCAATTGTTGCTTCTTGTTGCTGATTGAGGATGTAGATGTCAGGAAACATTTGACTCAAAGATCCTTGCCCTAACTAATTATCCTTCCAAAAGGATATCTCCATCCCATTTCCTCCACTGAAATTTGTTTTGTTCATGAATTTAGGCCATAGATTCCTGATGCATTTCCATAGACTAACCCCATAAGGCCCATTCACTGATTTGGTTGTCCATTTACCATCCATACCATACTTCTCCCTAATCACCTCTTTCCATAAGGATTGTTCTTCTTCAGCAAATCTTCATAACCACTTCATCATCAAGGTTTGATTCTGAGTTCTCAAGTTCTTTATTCTCAACCCCCCTTCCTTCTTGTTGATTGTAAGAGAGTTCCATTTGACTAAATGTATTTTCTTCTTGTCACAGTTCCCTTCCCACAAGAAGTTCCTTCTTAAAGCATCTATTCTCTTCACTATATTTACGGGAATAGGAAACAAGGACATCGTGTAAGTAGGCATAGCATCCAACACAGAGTTACTCAGAGTTAATCTACCCCCCATTGATAGGTACTGACTCTTCTAGTTAGTCAACTTCTTTTCACATTTCTCTGTAACACCATTCCATATCCCTTTCGATTTGCTCTTTGCCCCCAATGGCATTCCCAGATAGCCTGTAGGCAGCTCCCCTATTTTACCTCCCAAGAATTCTAGACAAGTATTGCAGCTCACTAACAATATTAACTGGATACATAAAACTTTTGTTCCAGTTAATATGTAATCCAGATGTACCTTCAAACAAGACAAAAAATGCCATTAACAAGACAATATTGACTTACTATTTTCTGCTCACTGCTCAGTATTTGGTTACAGGTTCGAGCTGTAGAAACAGCCTCTTGCAGAAATGCAGGGTAAGGCTGCGTACAATAGACCCTTGTGGTCTGACCCTTTCCGAACCCCGCACATAGCAGGAGCTTAGTGTACCGGGCTACCCTTTGCCCTTTTTGCTCAGTATTTGATTAGTTTAATTTTTTTATTTTGAAAATTTTCTGTCTTTTTTCTGAATTAAGAAAGGGAAAATCTTCCGTCTTTAGAGTTTTGTTTTGTCTGATCGTTATATAGTGACAATTTATGTGGGGGAAAAAATGTGACTCTTTTCCACTAATTACAGATAAAAGAATGGGAGAAAGTGGATAATTTAATTGAGATTAAGGAAAGAGATGGTCAAGGTCGACCAGGTTGGCAAACAAACAAATCTACAAATCAAATCTTAGATGAAATATATGAGGACATGGAAAATTTGGCTATCAAATCCACCACCATATTCAAAGTAAATGTGGCGTTACGTGAATCAAATCCAGATGCTTATACACCAAAGATGATCTCCATTGGTCCTTACCATAAAAAATATCAAGAACTTCACTCAATGGAAAAGTACAAACTGTTATACCTACGACGGTTTCTCCGGCGGAAAGAGGGGCTTGACGTGGAAAGTTGCATCAAAGAATTGGAGGAACTGAAAGATAAAGCACTAATGTGTTATGATGAAATAGAGGACCTTATTGATGGTGACCACAACACTGGTCAATTTTTGAAAATGTTGTTATTTGATGGCTGTTTTTTGGTTGAGTATATTCGAGAGCGCTGTGGAATAAAGCCAATAGGAGAAGACATGATTATACCTGGAGGTTGCCTAGATAATCAAGTAAGTCGTGACTTGTTGTTACTAGAAAATCAACTTCCTTTCTTTGTCCTTACCAAACTTCATGACATGACAAAAGAAGAAACCGATGAATTACCATTTACAAAAATGGTTAAGTGGATCTTTTTTCATGATTTACCGAAGCTGACCCCTGCATCCTTTAATGAGACTATAAGTAATGCCGTAGAAATTAAGCATTTACTTCAAGTAATACACATGTCATGTCACCCTTCAGAGATGAAAACTAATAACCTAACTGGGAACATTAGCAAGGAAGCAGAACATTCCAGGAAAAGCTTATGCTGTAATCTTTTGCAAATAATTAGGTCGAAAGAAATGCCAAGAGATAAGGACAAGCTGACATGGCAAGACAACATGCCAAACGCTACAGAGCTTCACGAAGCTGGAGTTGGATTTTCAAAAGTTGGAAATATTTATACTTGCTTGGCGAAAGACAACCT